TGTTCGGAACAAAAAAATTAAAGATCAAATTACTGACGGAAACTCTGCCGCAATGTGACCTCCATTATCCCCCAACAAAAAAAAAAACATTGGGAAAGGACAAAATTCTTCTTATTTTTCAAAATCGTATTAAATATCCTGAGATTATACAATGGAGCATTTTTAATCTACTAGTTACTAATTTATTTTTTTGACGTGACAACGTCTTATAATTCGATGCACGCACGAAAAAACATGACTCATGCGGCGTTACCTCGCTCTGAGGCGTTCCATTTAAGGCTTGAAGTGCAAGCGAGAGCGCGGAACGAGCGACAAAGAGGCACAATCGGCCTCCGCGTTCGGCAGCGTTCGACATCTGTGTCTCTCTCCTACTTGAGTGAGCGATGCGTCCGCGTGGACAGCTGCTATACAATAATACATTTCCATTTACCTCCATCTCTATATCCATACAAAATATCTATCAAACAAATAAAATTAAAATTTTCTTTTGAAAAATGAAACCATTCCATCAGTATTTTCTTATGACGTTGTCACGTTCAATTATCGTCAGTAAACCGACTTTACAGACAACCGATTTTTTCGGAACAATGAAACAGTTCTAACAATTATTTGAATATCCGTTCAAATAGGATGGTAATCAGCAAAACAAGATCAAGGCAGGACTGTCCCACAATCTTGGTATTGGTCATAATATTGGTCTTACTTATTCGGTCTTGGTTTTTGTCTTGCTGACGTAGTCTTTGTCTTGGTTTTGCTGATATAGTCTCGGTCTCGATCTTGCTCATTTAATATGATGCTTACGTTTCTTTAATAATTCTTCTAAGCACAAATTTTTCTATTTACGAAAACAATAATTGTTTTAAATGCTGAAATTTTGTGTCATACATGCGAGCCTGTCCTGACTTTTAAAGAAAATAGTTCCGATCTTAATGAAAATGTGTGTAATTCGTCATTTTCTACAATTCCTAGGAAATGTATAAAATTCCTTAAATCGTCCGGAAATGTGTGAAATAAATTTTATTAGACGCATTTCCTAGGAAATCTATACATTTCCAAATACCAATCGGAAACGTATTACATTCAAGATGTCAGTGGGTCCGCGAAGGGAGGGTATTGCGTTATCTGATCAGGCGATTTATTGTATTCACAGATAACTCTGATTCTTAATTTACTAACGTGTTTTATTCACTTTATTCACATAAAGCATTAGTTTTATACATTTCCTAGTACAATACCGGAATTTCATACAATTCCTAGGAAATGTACACATTTGCCAGGATATGTGTGCATTAAAAAATCTTTGAAACAAAATTTTATAGATTTCCTAAATAGCCTCGGAATTGTATACATTTCCTAGGAATTGTATACAATGACTGGGAAATAAAATCTTCCAGGACTTTCCATACTGAAGCGGCTCTCTAACATTGTCACTTGAATATTTATGGGAAAAATTCAGTAAGTGGAGTGTTAATTTAATAACCTGTTATCTCGTAATAGTTTCACTGTTTAACAATTCAACACAACAACAATTAACTGACTCGTCAATATCTTCAATCACTCATTAGTATTTTATTTCTTCATATTTTATACTTTTAACATAAGTATTATCGATCAATATTTTCAATTATCAATATATTGCTTAATGTTTTTGATTATTAACATATTGTTCTTGATTAGCAACATACAATTGGCCTATATTTTCAATTATTATTAACATATCATCGAATCAATTTTTTCAATAACTGTTAGCTCGTTATAGCTTAACGTTTTCGATTATTAACATGTTATTATTAGTCAATAGTTTCATTTATTAGCGTATTATTGCTCAATTTTTTTAAACATTAGCTTAAAATTACTTTGTGTTTTCAATTATATTATTAGCATATTATTAGTATGTATTTCCAAATATTGACGCATTATTTGCTTAATATTCTCCATATATAACATAAACCCCAGTTATTTTTTCACAGCCAACTATTATTTATTAAGTTGTAATTATGACAATATCAGATGACTCTCGTTGCAATTACAATATTACAAGAGTCATTCATTAACAAGAACCCTAAAAGTGCTATAAGAGCTGAGAAAGACAAGAAGTCTAAAAATAAGACTCTCACAGCATCTCAGCACGCAACTTTTGCTATTCTGGCGTGCTTATTTATCCCTATGATTTAAAAGTACACAACTTCTGACACAGGAATTCTTTGCACAATTCGTCGATGTACATTTTTGTTTTGTTTTTTCTTTTTGGTAAACTTTGTTGCTCATACGGACGCTCAAATTTTGTATTCTATTACTGTACAGCAACTTCTAGGAATGTTTATGCATTACAGCTCGTCGCTGTTCGGTGCTCGCGTGTGTTATACGAATTTACATACAAATATAAAATTAAAAAAGGTGCAAATGAAGAAGACGGAGAATTATAGATTCACCTTACGTTGTGGCCGTCGTGATACTTTATTATGCCGATATTGTTCATATGTAAATAAAGTCGTACATGTACACTGTACAGTTATCAAAATCAGGAACATTGCAAACTTATTTATATTTTTGCTTGTGTAAGGGTTTTATTATTTCTATATGTGTGTAAATAAATAGTCGTTCGAAAACTAAACGAACATATGTGTATATAGTGGTCGGTATGTATATTTCTACGTTAATTTTACGGACTTAGTTGGGATAGATTTTACCTAATTTGCCCATGTGTTTATACTTTATGCGGGGTGATCGGTCAAGGGGGATCGACCCTCTTCGAGATGAAGAAACAAACAGGACCTGTTAATGTTACATATGCGTGAAACGTATTAAAGTGCACTTGTGCTACTCTGTGTTCTCCAATAATTGTGCATATTTTAAGGACGTTATAATATTAGTGATTGTTACCTGTGTTACCTGCAAATCAGGGTGAGTTATTCACTGAGTACTTCAAGCATGCTTAGTAATTATTTTACTGATTGTTTTAAATGAAGATGCTGTTGATGATTTATGTTGATATTGAAAGTAACTCATGAGATAATTAGGGACGCTACCTAGACTGTTAAGCTGCGGTGACACAGTCGTTATTTGGGGGCTGAGGTTTGAAAGCGCTGCGGTGCAATGGGGACTGTGGGCTGCGGTTGTACAGTTATCTAACCCATTAATGACCTCAGTCCAGTTTTGGACAGAAAAGTCTGTCTTGCAGAGGTAGTGCGGGAAGAGGGTGTTTGCCCTTTCCCAAGATCAGGTTGATACAGCATCAATAAGTGTCAAGTAGTTGATTACAGTAATTTGGCTGCGGTCAATGTATTTATCTTTAGTTGATTATATTGCAACATGGCCTTGTACAGTAAGATGCACGATAAATGCTAAGGAAAGGTATGCTTGAGTGCTCACACATGTTTTTCTATATTTGATAAAGGTGCCGTAAGGTGATATTGGCAGTGATATAGCTGGGGATCATCTCTGTGATCGTGTTGGCTTTTGTTTAAGTAAGTGATCGTTTGTTTTATTTGTTGTGTATCTGTTGATTAAGAGATTAGGATGTCTTAAAGCAACGCTTAACCATCTTCCTGACGATACTTTATATCTCAATATTGTCCACGCCCTGTGATGCTACGTTCTTGATTTACGTAGTTTAAGATATCTATTTGATATTCTGTTCAGAATGCTCTTCGAGAGTATATGTTACTGAAGGCCGCTTACACTTGTAGGCTTTCACGGCCGGAGTCTATATGATGAAGATGTTCTGGGCTGACGAGCCGTGGTCTAGTGGAATTTTTATGTCTGCCAGACGTTTCGTTCGAAACTGCGGCGAACATTTTCAATGGAGACGGTGGTGGTTGCTTCGTAGTATCCTTCTTGGTGTAGTTGAGAAGCGTCTGAGAAGAATACTACGAAGCAACCACCACCGTCTCCATTGAAAATGTTCGAACGAAACGTCTGCCAGATGTAAAATTTTCACTAGACCACGGCTCGTCAGCCCGGAAAATCTTCATTTTTTATATTTAGTTATGAAGAAGTAAATTAAGTTTAATACGTTTGACAAGGTCACGATGTCAAATTAATAATTTTTTTATTTTTATTGAAAATTTTACCATTTTACCATCAAACTTGTAAACTAATTCATTTACAAAACATGATACTCGGTAGTGTTGAAATTGCAGCGTTTTTAACGTTACGTGATTAGTCAATAAGTAATTTCAAAGACAATTTTGAGGGTTCCATACCCCAAAAGGAAAAAAAGTACCCTTATAGGATCATTTCGTTGTCTGCCTGTCAAAAACCTTGTTCTCTGAAACGCCTGGAAGTATTAAGTTGAAATTACTATCAAACTCTTAGATCTTATGAGAAAACAAAATTTTTATAACAACTCAAAAATTACGATTTTCGATTGAATTTGCCGTAGAAATAGTAGAATTTTTTAGGTAACTTGTAATAATCTCAATTTTGACATGTTTCTTTAAAAATTATTTCAAGTTTCTTAATTATTACAATTTAATTTGTAATATCAACTGAAACACCTAGTAAATTTATTTCTGCTGGGATTTATTTTTACAAATTCAGGTCTCAGTCGTAATTTTTATTATTTTCGCTTACGAAGCAACTGGCTAGTGGGATAAATTTAGGTAAATTTTCGTTTTTCATTTTCTCCAGATTATTACAAATTACCTAATAAATTCTACTATTTCTACGACAAATAAATTGAAAATTGCAATTTAATTTTCTCCATGTTACGCCACTGGATGAAACTAAGAGCCGTTGTAGTTTCTACCTTCAAAATAGGAAATAGGATTAAAGGATTAAAAGGCATCCAAATACAAATGAAAATGATCTTTATTTTTGTTTTGCCAGCTTCTGGTGTTCTGGTACAGGGTACCTACGATCGGTAGGTTTAGAAATAGACGCTGCTGTATGTTACATCTGGTCCTCGACACCGGGCGTTTGTTACATTTCTTCAATGACCCCACGTATTTATTGTGTTTTCTCCTTTTAATGTTATTTACTGGTGATTTGTTTTACAGCTGGATGGCGAACAGCCGGATGACGATGACGATGACGAACCCGACTTCTACCAACAAGCACGACTTCCTGGTTAAGACCATCGCGTAATAACGGGACAACTCCTTAAAAGGTACCATTCGGCGAACCGCTGGTACCATCCTGGTTTAATTAATTTAACACCACGCTATTATAATATGTAGGTATACTACATGCATAATAACGCGAAACTTTTCTTCTTTTAATATTGTATACCATTTTTGACAATAAATTATTGCATCAATTTAATGATTTTTATAGATCGGCTGCAATAATCACTACAGCTCAAACGTTGGTGCTGGAAGATATTTATCGTTTTAATATTAAAAAAAAAAGATTTTGTGTCTTTGTTTTCTTCCTTTTTCTTTTTTTTTGATGCAATAATTTTTGTGGGTAGTTTTTTGCGATATTCTCTGTAAGTAATACATCCTTTTTTGTTTCAACAATAAGAAAGCTAATCGTAAATGCAAAGTTAATCAAAATGAATAATAATTATTATCATAAATATAATAATGGTATCTAGCAATTTACATAGAATAGATCGATTCGAGATATAGCGATAGGATTGGTTTTAATTAATAATTGTAATGTTGTTAAATTTTAATTTTCAAATCCAATTGCTCACCTAGTGTTGTAGTTAAATAATATTATAATAATCATTATACCCTACTTTGTAGTTAAGAAACTTTTAAAGACATTAACAGTATTAAAAATCGTGCTGAAGAGAGGGTGGGCGTTTGTGAAGGATGTTTTTCGGGGGCCACAGTTTATTAACTGGTCTTTTACTTAAATTTTAATGACTAATTTATTTTTATTAAATAATTAAAAATATCTAGCTATATGTATTCATTACTCTATTAAAACACCGAAATGAAATTTGCAAATAAGGCAAAGAATTATCTTTAACAGCAACTTAATTTCATTAAAGCAAAATTACACCTCGAAATTATTTTTTTTAATTGACTTTTTAATTAATTTGTGATAGGTTAAAAAATAATCGCCATTTAAATGCCATTACCCCAACAGTATCTGTTAGCTTCAATTAGTTATTAATTGTTTAAATATTTCGGCAAAAACCCCAGCATTAAAATAAAAAAGGACGTTTTTCGATTATCAAAAAGTTTTTTCCTAATAGTTTTAATTTGCCCAATAGAAGACTTAAATTGAATAAAAAAAACAGATCGATATTTACCTGAGGAGGTGGGCAAACAAATTCGTTTAATTCAATTATTTTCTTTTTAATTAATTGTATAATTCACCGAAAAAGTGTTTTGCACTATAGGGAAAGATATTTTGGTGATTGAAAAACATCTTTTTTCTTGTTTTAATGTCATATTTTGCCGAAATATTTAAACAATTAATAACTTATTAAGACTTTTAAAGCTATTTTTAACCTTAATTAAAAAGTTCCTTTAAGAAAATAAAATTTCGTAGTGCAATCTTCGTCTATTAATTTCCTATATTTTTAGGGAGAGTGAGTGCCTAAAGATTTAAAAAAATCTTTAAAAAAATGTGAAAAGACGTTACGGGTGATATTGAAGTGAAATAATCATTTGTTTTTCTTTTAATTCATTTGTTTGTTTTGCGTAAATCCGTAGATTTCGATTTTAATTTAAATAACGTGTTTGTCATCGGTTCTTTTTTTTTTCTTGTAGTTTTATGGCATTTTTTTGAGAAGAAAGCGTGCCACAATATTTATTTTTAAAATGTACTTATGTAGTACTTAATTTTTACTTGTGGCTTTATTGTTTTTGTACTTTTTTCACTACAAATACGATAAGTACAAAGCGAAGGAATATATTCGATGACTTTATGGTAATATTAATATAAAAAAATATATATTTTGCCTATGAATATTATATTAATGACTTAAGGTATTTGTTTCCTGAAACTGACTATGTGTTTTATAGCAAAACTTTTATTTAATACTGTTATGTTTTGCTTGGAATATAAGACATTTCTTTTTTAAGTATAATTATTTTAAAATATGTATTTTTATGATTAAGGTATTCAACTTGACATTACTGTTTGAGCTTTATTTCTTTTTTTTTTTTGACGCTTGGAAAGGATTGTTTCGTCGTCTTCAAGTTGGGAACAAACTTTCAATCTTCTAAATCCAGTATTATATTGTTTAGCGCTAGTTTCACTTAAAGAGAATTAAGTAGACGTCCTTATTATATGGTAATCATCGTGTATTGATTAAAACAATATGTTTTTGGCCTAATTGTAAGTGAAACTGAAGTGCATTTATCAATGGAGCCTGTGATTTAGGAGTGGCAAAATTAGCGGTTAAAATGTACCAGTATTTTTATCCATAGTAATTATTTTTGTAGTAATTAGGACGATAAACATAAACATCAAATATTGTGATGACTGTAGGATAGGATTAGTTGTAAAACAGACCTATCATTGAAAACTATTTAATTTAAATGTATTCTTTAAATTTAAATATATCATATTTTTCGGTCACCCTGTATTTATTTCATTATCTAATGTACCAAAAATTCAATGATTTCTTTATAAAAAAAAATAGCAAAGTAGTCCTGCTTTTAATTAGTTATAAAAATGCAACATTAATATCAGCAAGTGTAAGATTTTTCATATACAGTAAACATCACCAAAAGATATTGTTGAAAAAAACAAATGGGATTATTGATAAACAAAAGATAATTGGCAAAAAACAAACAGTGAAAAACATTCAGTAAAGCCTTCCTACATATAGTTGCAATTTTAGATAGTGACATTGTCCAATAAGAGGTAAGTACATTCTTTTTATCGTTTATACTTCCAAATGAATTATACAAAAGACGATAAAAGATCAAAATTATAAAATTGGTGGAGGCGCCAACGTTTAACTAATTATAAGTTATTAAAATATTGTCAACTTTTCAATATTGGTGAAGGCGCCGGGCTTTCAAATCGTTGTTGCAATAAAAATTAAAATTTAAATTTTGGTGGATGCGCCGGGACTTATAAAATGATTAACAAGTAATACTACTGCAATAAATGGTTTCAATTTTGGTGGATGCGCCAGACACTCATACTTTGCATGAACAAAATTTTAAGGCCCGATTTTGTATTAGGAGAACATAAGTTACATGGTAAATTTTCTATAAATAGTGGCGCTATAACCGCTATTTTTTAAACGGAATAATTATCTTAGAAATTACAGAACTAGTTAAATTTATGTTTTTCAACAATGTATGGGTCAGAAAAAATAATATAACCATCAGTAATTACTTATTTAATCATTATACAGACGAAAAGTTTATAGCAATTCTTCATTTCTAGTAATTTTTCGCCAAAGTTACGGCTAGTTGTACAACTTCGAAGTGTGTGTTTACATTTCTTCATGTTGACAAATTATACAAACTATCAAAATTACTTTACAATGTATTAAAAATAGGTATTTACTCAATTTAGAAGAGAAGGATAATACGTATTTAATAAAAACTAAAGCAACATAAACACATCGGCAATGCCAATTGATTAATAAGGTACGTAAAGTGTATAACTTCCAATTTAACCTACAAATTTATATCCATTATGCAAACATTATTTAAAAATACGTTTATATTATATAATTTACCCCATATTTATTTATTTTTGTAACGTCTACTTACTACTTTCAGATCGCATGGACTGAAATAATTGGGAAAAACTTAGAATAAACAACATTCAAATGCAGTAATGTACCTTTTATACTTCTGAAATAAATACATTAGTAAGTACAGTAACTAAAGACACATTTAATAGATGATTAATTTCACTTACACTGTAAAAATACATCAGCAATCAATATAAATGTTTAATAAAAGAGATAAGAACAATTTTAAACAGTAAGCCATCAGATTGTTTGAGGATCTTATATGGAATAAAAGTATCTGAAATTTCTTAAAAGGTATAGGAGAGGAAGAAATTTTCAACAAGTAGAGAGACAGTTAAGGAATAAAAAGCGATTGAAGACTCCACTTATAGTTGTGTATGTAGGGACATAAAACCAGTAATAAACAAGGCAAAGTATTTAAATAATGTAGTAAGATGTAATGAAAGGAGAAACTGGGCCGTTTCTTATGCTACAAACAAAACAAAAGGGTAACTTACTAAGAGGATGATCTGAGAAACTTATTAACAGAAGAATTAAGAGAAAAAGACCTGTGAATATATTGAAATGGTAGAGGCAAGGATTAAAGAGAAAACAGTATATGTAATAGAAAAGTGAGAAATTGATGTTTTAGTTCTTAATTTTAAGAGATTTTATATAAAAATTTATGTAATTAACAACAAATTTAATATAAAAGGAGCAGCTTGCATAAATCTGTTTGGCACGCACTGAAATAAAGTGCGATTATTACACTAAGTACATAAAAAGTGAGAAAGTCCATTTACCTTTTGGTGCTTAGTGAAGAGCAACTACACTATACGTACTTTTATTATTATACATGGACTTAATAAAGAACTATTATTAAAATTCTAATCTTCGTAAAATATTTCACAGTATCCCTGTTCCATAATTTATTTAGGTTTCCTCTTCATAAAACGATTAATTATTACATATAAACCATCTGTAGAATGTATTAAAATGTCTTTAAGAAATAAACAAAATTTAGACTGATTAATGGCTTATTATTACAACCTTACCCTATTTGTGGCTATAAAAAGAAATAAAACTAATTTGCCAGACGTAGTAGTATAAATCATTTATATTTAAATTTTGCCAAAGAAGTACTAATTATATTAAAACTACTGGTCTCTTCATTAAATTTACATCTAGAAAAATAAATACATTTCACAACCACATAAGCATTCGACTTCTAATTTAATAAAAAAAAAACAATTTTGTTATGGTTCTCACAATGAAAGAAAATATATATAAAAAAGTGTTCGCTTTTATTTAATCAAATT